GCGGTGAGATAACATGGATCTTGTAGAGCGTGCTGTGTTAAATTTATTGGTGTAAGTTGTAGACCTGTAGTTATTGTGAAAAAAAATGTTATTGCTGTTTTACTCATCTAGAAAAAATAGTGAAATTTTGCCTTGTTATAGCTACGCTGACTTATCGTATGATAATCACACCGCCTCGCATTCTGTTTCAAAAAATGGGCGCGCATAGTTTTAAATGAAAGAACGTTGAGAATGAAAGAAAATGATGAGGCAGGGGTTTTAGATGTGATAAATTCGAATCTGGGCTCCAATCACCTCGATAACTTAATGATTTGTGCAGAATCAACAGACATCAAGTTTTTGGGTAAATGAGTGTCACTGAACGATCGCAAGAAGGACATTAGAAATCTGAAATCTGTCGAGCACGATACCTTACTGGACGACCGGTGACTTGACTGGGTGAGCCATGTCAAACACACATGGAGTTTTAGAGAAACTGATATTTTGGAGATCATCTCTGGTAGGAATTTCAAATAAGTGATCTACTAAGCTCAAGATTTTATCCGTCGTAGATTTCTATGAGACAAGTTCTTAACAGATCTTTTGCCCGAAGGTCTTTTTGTCTGTGTTTCGTTGCAACCAATCAAAATTCAGTGTGTTTTCAGCAGTGTAAAGCACGATATACTGTCGTAACTCTCCTGTTCAATAGATATTGTAAAACTGAAGTTCTAGATCAAGTGGATGTATAGTTGTGTTGAGTTTGATAGAAGCGAGTTTTCCTTGCATGTCTGTCGGAAAATTGATCTCTCAAATGGGTTCCTTCTAAATATAGAATCAAACAACTACGGGATCCGGACTGAAACTCTCAACAGGTAAAACAAGAGCCAATCGGGATCAGAACCGATTGAGATAAGTGTGTGCTCCGACATGTATTTGGAAATATAGAAAATCGATCAAATTTATATGAACTACCAAGGTCTTCTCGATCTACACATAAAAAGGACGAAGAATTCCTCACATCAGAGCAATCTTTCAATGTTATTCTATAGTCTTTGAGGGTGGGATCAGATGGAATCGAGACTCAGAATACGTCTGAGAGTTTAGAACAAAATCAGCACGGAGGCAAAAATAGTAGTTGTGTATATCTACTGCCAACTAATTAGGCTTTTGAGATCTTCTCAAACACAACTGCGTATTGTTTCCATATATTAACTGTGAACTTTCCCGGGCAACGCCGATTACTTCTGCTAGTATTCGAATAAATCTAGACAACTCTGATAATCAAAGCCAATTATCTCAAAGTTTCTGCATAGTACAAACTTTTTTACTGCGTATATAATATTTTCAATGCTCTTTCATTTAAAATCATCCGCGCCCATTTTCTAACGGAATGCTAGACGATATGAACTTCATACAATGTGTCAAAATACCTGAGAAAATGTACAACTCCACTACTTTTCCTCAGGTTCCCAAAATTTCGGTCATTCTTTTTACTCAATGAATAAAATGGTAATAACTTTCTTCGCAATAGCGACAGATCTGTCTCTTTCACCAATAAATTCATCACAACATGCTCTTCAAAATCCATGTTCATCTCGCCGTTAGCACCAATACCTTTGTCAATTGTCGTATGTTTCTGATGGATGTACCTATAATATTCAATCTTACCGTATGCGTACCTAAAATTGTCAATGCTCCTAATAACAAAAACAAAAAGATCGATTTATTAAAATAATATTTTATTTATTCCCAATATACCCATTAAAATTTGACAACATTTTGTTTTTCCAGCTCCTGATGGTCCAAGTACCATAATACCATGTCGAACACATTGTGTTTCATATAATTGAATAACTTTCAAATTCCATTCATTATAATTAATTAAACCATATTCATCAATTTTGTTTTGAATAGCTTTTTGTAAATCATCATATTTTTCTTTATCTAATTTAATATCAGGAAAAAGATCTTCTAATAAAGATAAAAATAATGGTTCATCTTCATCAATCTAAAATTTCTATTGAATGTATTTATTCAAAATTTAAATTTAATTTTTGTTTTTTTTTTTACTAATTTTGATAGATTCATATCACGTAATACACGCATTACAATTGTATCTTCAGGATCTTTTGAACGAGTACGTTTTACTGTTCCAAGT